CATCCTCGTGGCCGGGTTCGCCAGCCGCGCCCCGGCCCACCGGCACTTCTACCGGGAGCCCATCGCCCTGCCCACCCTGCACGTCGTGGGCGAGGCCGACGCCGTCATCCCCGCCTCCCTCAGCAGGGAGCTGGCCCAGCACTTCGTGGAGCCCGTTGTCCTCACCCACCCCGGCGGGCACTTCGTCCCCGCGGCTGCCCCGCAGAAGAAGGCCTACCTGGACTTCTTGGACCGCTTCTGTCCTGCAGAGGGAACCGAGCCCCCGGGGGCTGGGGCTGATTGATGACAGTCTGTAATAAACGGGGCTCCAGCGAGGCAGGGGCAGCCTCCCATCGTGGTGAGACGTGGCTGCGTTTCCGTGCCCTCCAGAGGGACCAGCAAGGCCTCAGCAGCTCCCAGTGCTGCTCTGCAGTGTCAGCCCTACCTAATGGCTCTTTGTTTCCTTTTTCTTTCGTTTCTTTTGCACCTTGGTTGCTTGCACGAGCACGTGGGTGTCTCGCTGAGGGGCTGCAGGGCAGGAGGCTGGCACTGCTCTGGGTCTGGGAGGTGCCTGCAGAGACTTGAATAGTTCCAAGTTAGGGTCCCTCAGCTCAGGCAAAGGCAGCACCCACCTCTTGCACCCCAGAGGTCTGTGCTTTTAATATTCCTGGTGAAAGCCCTTAGGCACATCTTCCAGCTGGGCTGGCTCTAGGAAAATGCTGGTTTTGTTTAGGAAGTGAAATGTCTGTTGGTTGAGTGTGTGTTGGGAGATGTTTGTACCTTCCTCTGTACAAAGTGCCTTCGTGAACAAGAAAAACGTTGCTACCTTTTTGGCTCTGTTTTTTTTTTCTCCAGAAGCACCAGGAAATGTTTATTGTTCCCATTGCAGGTGTCCTGCCTGCTGCTGGGGTGTCCTGCCCAGGGCTGTGCTCACAGGGCTCCCCTCTAACCATGGCTTTCCTTGGGGCTACAGGCTGATGCAGGAGGTGAAAGAGAGGAGATCAAACCTCTGGATTTGGGCCCTGCCCAGGGCAGGGAGCAGCTGGTGTGTCAGCATGGGCAGAGGACACTGGTGCAGGAGCAGGCCTGGGATCAGGGGACAGCTCCTCTTTCCATGTTCACTCAGCTGGGAGCAGGCCTGGGAGGTGCCACAGGTTAAAACCAACGTGGCAGAAGTGAGCAGTTCTCACTCTTGCAGGTGTTTTGCCCTCTGGTTTGTGGCTGGTTGTAGCAGCACCGTGGTGGTGGTGGCAGGAGGATGTGGTGGGTTCCCCGGGCTGGGTGTGTCTTGTCCTTGCTGCCTGCTGAGGTGGTGTGAGGGTTTGGGGTGCCTGTCGGTGTCCTGGGGACACCAGAGGCTGTTTTTGGGGACGGATGTGGCTTGGGGCTGTGTCTGCAGCTCCAGGGAGCCAGGCCGAACGCAGCAGGACCTTCTGTCTGCCCCCCTCCCCGAGCCCCTCGGTGCTGGGGCGGATGGAGCGGGCACAGCTCCCCCCGCTCCCCCTTCGTTACAGCTCTTCCGTTACTGCGGGGCTGGTCCTGGCGCTC